TCTCTCTCTCTCGTCTCTCTCTCTACGTCTCTCTCTCTCTCTCTCTCTCTCTCTCTCTCTCTCTCTCTCTCTCTCTCTCTCTCTCTCTCTCTCTCTCTCTCTCTCCCTATCTCATTCTCTCTCTCACCCCCTCTCACTCCCCCTCAGCCTCTCTCGCTTCACCTATATATCCCTCTCTCTTGCTCTCATCCTCTTTTTCGTGCGCGTTCTCTCTCTTCCTTTAGTGAGCGTTAGAGAAAGCGAATGGAAGGCGAGAGCGAGCGAAATGTAGATAAAGAGAGTGTTCCCCATCCTTCTCTCTCTCTCTCTCTCTCTCTCTCTCTCCCTTCTCTCTCTTTCTTTCATCTATCCATCGCTCGCTCTCACCTTCCTTTCGTTCTCCAACTCTCTTTCTCTCTCTTTCTCTTTCTCTATCTTACTCACTCTCGCCCTCTGTCAATCTTTCTCCCTCTCCCTCGCTCTCACCCCCTCTCTATCTCTCTTGTTCTCCCTCTCTCGCTATCGTTCTCTCTCGCCCCCAAATTTTCTCCCTCGCGCCTCCTCTTTCTCTCTCTCACTCTTTATCTATCTCTCTCTTTCTCTACCCCTCTCTTTCTCTTACACACCACTCGAAACAGAGCGCGTTACATATAATAATAATAATAATAAATAATGATAATAGTAATGTTTGACTACTATAAACATGGCGTTATAGATTAATTCAGGTATCAGTTCACTATTAAACGTTTTTCATGCTACATTAAGCTGCGTTACGTTACGTTATGTTCCAATACTTGTCAGGGACCGAAACCAATAATAAGCTTTTAGGAAATATTCTCTATCTTCAAACAACAGGTGCATATAGTAAACAAAAACAACAGCAATAATTCCACGTACGAATCACTTATGATGTGATAAACTATTTGCGTTATACTGCACTACGTTTAGTTTTTTTCCACGCCACCCACAGACAGACTACCCCGGACCGTAATAATAAACGGGAGGAGAATTTGAACACGTTATCACGCATGTTATCACGTTAATTGTGCCGAGATCTGTAGAGATAATTTGTTGCAATGACAGCCACAAAGGAGTTTACACAATACCTAGCTGATCTGTACAACTGGTGAGCTGTTATATCGCTCTTAAGTGTTCGTTACAACGATTCAGTCAGTTGATCTCGCTTGCTGACAGTTTTCCTCCCCCTTCTCCTCCATGTTCTTATTCGTTTTAGTCTTCTTCTTCTCCTTCCTCCTTGTCCTCCTCCCCTTCCTCGTCTTCTTACATAGAACGTCAAATGTCCTTAAAAAATTAAAATCAGAAGGGTGGGTGAGTGGGTGGTTAGATGGATGGGTCGATGGATTCCACGTACATTACGTAATTTATATAAAAAATTAACTGAAGGAAACAGCGTGGAAGATACGCACACCTCACGCCTGCTTGAGGTGTGACGGATTTGAATGAGAACTGTACTGAAGCGAACACAGAGTCAGACGGCCCATTTGCCTGTATTTCAAAGAACTTAATTACTTTTATATAAAGCACATTTATCACTGAGCTGTATTTAATAACAGTATTATTTATAGCATCACATGCGCAATGCGTTTATCATTACTCTATATGTTACCTGTAATCGTGGCGCTTGTAGGCGATAACAGAGAGTGAAGGAAACCTTGCACATTCCATGAGACACCAAATAAAATGGAGTACTGACTGGCGAACAAGGCGAACAAATGATGTCACGTGTCATAGATCTCGCCAGAAAGAAGCCAGTTTCTGTAGAGTTGGTGAGCTGGTATATCGCTCTTAAGTGTTCGTTGCAACGATTCAGTCAGTTGATCTCGCCTGTTGACAGTGGCACAGTGATTGGCTGAAGCACAACTTTTGATGCTGCTCCTCCTCCCTTTCTTCTTTTCTTCATCTTAATTCTCATTTCTTCTCCCTTAATTTTCTTCTCCTGCTTATTCTTCGCCGTTTTATTCTTCCTCCTCCCTCTCCTCCCCTTATTCGTCTTCTTACATAGAACGCCAAATGTCCTTGACAAAGACTTGGGCCATATCCACGTAGCGAAGCTCACCCCTGTACTCGGGATCTGTAAAACAATGATGAAACGGTTAAATAAATCGCACCGTAGTAATGTGTGTAAAGTAGGAAAGTGTGAATATATAATATATATATAATATATATAAGTCGGGTGGGTGAGTGGGTGTGGTTAGATGGATCGGTGGTTCATTTCGCTTTCCACTATAACGTAATTTATTTTAAAACTAATTAACTGAAGGCAACAGCGAGGGAGATACGCAGAACTCGCGCCTGCTGGTTGTTTAGGGATCGAGGAATTTAAATGAGAACTGTACTTAAGCGCGCACAGACGGCCCATTCGCCTGTCTTTCAAATAACTTTTATATAAAGCACATTTATCACTGAGCTGTGTTTATTTCAGTTATAATAGTGTTATTTATAGCATTACATGTGCAAAGCGTTTATCATTACACCATATTAATTATGTTACCTGCAAACGTGGCGTTGGTAGGTGATAACGGAGGATGAAGGAAACCGTGCACATTCCACGAGAGCGCGGGAGAATATGGAGTAGGCCAGCGAACAAATTAGGAAGTCACGTGTACGAGATCTCGCGAGAAAGAGGCCAGTTTGGACGCTATTCGCTACTCAAAAAACGTAATACGTAATTCATAATACGTCATTTGCCTTGCTAACAGGCGCCCCCAATATAGAAAAACGACGTGTTCTTATATACTATATATGTATATATATATGTTATATGTATATTATAGCCGTATATCCATATTTTGTGCTTCGGGGTGAAAAACGGCTATTTTGCCTGCATAAAGTTTTCCGTGCTAACGAGGTCGTAGGTGATACCATGTGGGAGAGTGGAGGATGGGAGCTAGGATAAACGAGAAACAACAAGAGGTGGCGAGAATATATATATATAGAGAGAGAGAGAGGGGGAGGGAAAGAGAACGAGAGAGAACGATGAGAGAAAGGCAGAAAAAAAGTCAGCAAGAGATATATGGAAAGAAAAAGAGAAGGAGAATGAGTGAGTGAGAGAGTTAATGAAAGCGGAGACGGAAGAGAGAGAGAGAAAAAGCGAAAGAAAAAAAGAAAGAGGGGAGGGGGAAGGGAAGAGGAGCGAAAGTAGGGAGGGACAGAGAGAGGGGGGAATGCGGACGGAGATGTGCACACGCACGCGGAGTCACACGCGCAGACAAACGCACGTACGGCACAAACAACACGCACACACACACAGGCACGGATGCAAATATTCCTTCCAATATAGTTACTTCTCTCGCTTTCCCGCTCACCCTCTCCCTCTCCATGACTTTCACCCCCTCTCTCTCTCTCTCACACACACACTCTTTCTCTCTCTTCGCATTTCTCTCTCTCTCTCATACACACTCTTTTCTATCTCTTCTCTGATCTCGTCTTGTGTCTCTCTCTGTTCTCTCTCGTCTTCTCTCTCTCTCTCTCTTCTCTCTGCTCTCTCGTCTCTCTCTCTCGTATCTCCTTTCTAGTATCTTCTCGTCAGCACACAATTTTTCTCTCTTTCTTCAGACGCTATTATACACACGCACGCGGACGCACTGCACGGCGCACGCACGCACGCACGCACGCACGGGCACGGCACGCACGACAACACAACACATTAAATATAGTCAATATTATAATTATTATATACTGCTCCCTCTCCGTTTCCTCTTCCTCACTTCCTTACTCCTCTCTCGCGGATAGTATCGCCCACGACCAGTCAAGCATGGAAAAACCTTTGCAGCAAAATGACCGTATATTTCAGCCGAAACTTTTTTAACCCGCGAGGCTCAAAATGTGAATTTACGCCTATAATACACGCGCACGCGTGCGTACGACCACGCCCGCGTGTGCGCGTCCATTAGTGGGTGTGTATGTGTGTTTGTACGACTGTAAAAACGCGTATTATAGCCGTATAATCACATTTTGTGTTTTTTTTTGGGGGGGGGGGTGAAAAAGTCTAGGCTAAAATACGCCCATTTACCTGCAAATTTTTTCCATGCTTGACTGGTCGTGGGCGATACCATTTGGAAAAAAAGGATCACTTATTCCCGAGAGAATATAACCTGATAGGATATCGATTAAAGTACAATATAAATAGATAGACATATCAGATATAGATAGATAGAAATAGATAGAATACCAGATATTGAATAATAATCATTGGTATTTTCTTGGTTTTTCGTGATGGTTGATTCTATATGGTACATTATTACTGCTAGGTACTTAGTACATGGTTCCCACAAGTGTGAATTATTTTTTCAAATACTTTTCAAGAACTTGGACATATTTCCAAGGACCTTCAACGACGTACAAAAGGAAAAATTCAAGGACGAAGGACAAAATTCAAGGAATTTCAATGGCTGTGGTACCCTGCGTACATACAATTGTAGCACCTATAGCTGCCCCTTGTATCGTCACTTTCTATTATTATTATTATTATTTTATTAAATCCTTATAGCATGTAATTCAAATACTTTTGAATTATAATTACTTTCAAATATTGCACTAATTGCGAGGAGCTTGCAAGCTCATGTCGATATGTCCTTCCCCGATGTACCATCTTTAAATAAATAAATAAATAAATAAACAAACAGATACAAGATGGCGTATCACATTAATATTCCTCCTGTTGTATTTTACACTTAAACTGTTTACATTCGTTACCTGGTTCTGCTCGCAGACATTGCTGTTGCTAATACCCGCAACGCAACATTAACGCCTGTGCGCGCACTGCATAGACCTACTCGTCCTTAGGTCATATTGACCTAAGGTTCTGATATACAATAGCCACACGACAAAACAACGTCGCAGTCACAAACACGTAGCAGACCTAAATCTTTAGTTACATTACATATTTACACATCTTTTTTGTAAAGAACATCTTTTAACATTTTTAACGTCTTTTTGACATATTTTTGTCAGAAGCAAAATTAGTCTTAACGTTAACGTTATTTTCGTAGACCGGACCTATACACACTGCGCATGAGAAACTCGCAACTTTACATTACTCTCAACCGTTTATGAGATAAGGATCATTCTAAGACTAATGTCAAAACTCATTCTGTTTATGACAGCTCGCCCTAGAACGCAGGCATCTGTGGCTGCATCTGAGAACGACAAGCAAACACAAGCAGCCATACCTCTCTAATTATCATTATCAATATGCAACCCTATAAGAACTCGCACGTTCACACGCAGAACTACCAACACAGTTCAATCTTACAGGTAACATCCTATCAAGAGCATATAAAGAAGGCATATATTCCTTCCTTATAATATGCTCTTGATCATATACTAGTATCAACATGGAACAAATTGTACGAGACATGTAGAATCAGTAACGCAGTACAATCTTACAGTCTACGTACCAGTATCAACAGGCATGTGTATAAGTAGCAGTACCAACAAGGTACAAAATGTACAATCTCCACGTAAACTACTAGCAACGTAGTACAGCATTAGTACAGCACGTATAAGTGACTAGGTCTGTATTCCCTCTTGATTCTCTACAATATCATATTTACAGATGCCTTCTTTCATCTTCATTCAGAGATCAAATGCTTCCCCTTCCCCCCTCTCTGCCGCTCCCTTCCCACCCTCTCCCCCCCTCTTTCTCATACTTCTGCCCCCATTGCTACACTTTATACATACCTCTGTCCCACGCTCTCTGTCTCTCCATCCCTCTACATATTCTTTCCTCCTCTTCCTCTTCTGTCTTCTTCCTTATCCGCTCCCACTCTCCTCAACTATATCCCCTCCCTCCCACCCTTCCTCGTCGACGCTACTACCGGCCGGTCTTCTTGCGGCGTCGTCGCTTGCCTACGGCCGTCACCTTGGTGGGTTTGCTGGAGGCGTGGCCGGGGGCGCAGCGAGGGCAGAACCAGTCCTCCTCGTTAGGCTCCTCCGTGATGTTCACGCACGGCCTGCGCAGGAAGCAGATGACACGCAGTGTTACTACGGCGACAGTGGGACAGCAAGAGCAGACGTGATGTTACTACATGGTTTATACAGGAGGACTGAAGATTTTTTCAAGGACTTTTCAAGGACTTTTCAAAGACATTTTATTGGAAATTCAAGGACATTTTATCAGACATTTTATCAAAATTCATACACAGAACAAAACATACCTGGATTAATTTAATAATAACCCCATTCTTAATCACTGTCACCTCTAAAACTTACCTGGATCAGATTAATAACCCCTTCTAAACACTGTCACTTCTACAACATACCTTGATTTACTGACTGATTTTACTGACTTACTGTAATTTGTGATCATCATTTAACTGTCTATCGTGTCTATAGCTTTTTAAGCGCATTTAACGCAATTTTATTGAGGTTTGCACATTATTGATGGTACAAAATTTCTTTTTATTACAGGCAAGGATTCTTTCTAAAAATTCAAGGACATTTCCATGGAATTCAAGGACTTTTCAAGCACAAAATCAACATTTACTAAATTCAAGTACTTTTCAAGAATTCCCCTCAAATTCAAGGACTTTTCAAGGACTGTGCGAACCATGTACTATTAGTGGGGCAGATATGTGTCAATATTTAGACGAATTGTGGGTTTTGTGGTAAAAACGCCAAAATTGGCACGAATGAAGTTAAGGGTATACTAAATGATTTATATAGCAACAGTAGGTAAACGACGCGTGACGTTACCATGGAGACAGTGAGTGCACTGGAGCAGACGACAATGTGATGTTACTCTAGTGACAGTGTGCAGACGACGCACACCGTTACTAAAGTGTCAACAAGTGAGCGTGAGCAGACGAAATCGCGCCGTTACCATAGCGACATTGAACGTATGACGGACATCATTGCTCTAGCAACAGCAAGCAGACGACGCGTGCCGTTACTATAGCGACATTGAGCAGATGACGCGTGCCGTTGCTATGGCGACATTGAGCAGATGACGCGTGCCGTTGCTATGGCGACAGCGGCGGCGGCGGCGACTCACCAGTGGTACCAGTCGTTGCATCCGTCGCAGCCTATCATCGGCGATCCGTCGTCCGGCATCTTACACGCCGGACAGATCCAGATCTGCTTCCCGGATTCATCCTGTGGGATAACGAGCGCAGAGCGTGAGGCAGGTTACCGCGGCAACGCGGCCGATGTCGATTCGAAGAGAATGAGCGAGAGAGGGAGTGAGAGAGGGAAGAAAAAGAGAGAGAGAGAGGGGAGAGAGAGAGAGAGAGAGAGAAAGGAAGAGAGAGAGAGGGAGAGAGAAAAAGAAAGAAAAGAAAGAGAGAGAGAGAGAGAGAGACAGCGAGAACAACACTACGCGTACCAACGAACACATTCGCTACAGATCGCCGATTCCGTGCCGACCGTCGTCACGGCAACCGACCTGGCCCTTACCTCCAGCCTCCGTCCGTGGCGCGACTCAACACCAGGACATGTTGCTCACGACCTGGTGACCCCACCAGGGTCACATCATCTCCCAATGACCCCTCTGGGGTCGCGACCTCTATCGTTGACTTTTCTGAGGTCGCTACCTCAAGCGGCGACCATACTGGAGTCGTGACCTCTAGCGGCGAGCCC